ATCCGCGAAACAAACACCTCCTTGGTTCTGCGCCTCACTCGATAATCTCTTTCATGGCCGGTGTTGTTAGCCTGATTTCGTGCTGATCTGTGGCATGTGCTTTTTTTTTTTTTTGGAAAAACTTCCAATCTATTCATCTTCAATCATGGCAGTACAACGAATAGAAATAAAAATTACCTTGACCCTTTGCCCAAATGATGATCAGAATGGTTGCTGCAATTGTACCTTCAATCTTCTTCTAGCGAAGCCATCCACGCACTACATTTTTCTTCCTTCTCGGATCTCTGCTCAGGCGATGACGATTTAAGCACATAATTTCGTTATTGTTCCTCTTATGTACTTGCATGTTTTGCGGTATTTTGGTTATTGCACGAGACTGAAAGTCAAAGACACCTTTCCGTTGCAAAATATGCGCCACATGGTTAGATTCCTTGAGGTGGAATCAGCCCTACCTGGCTTAAGGGCATCTCTAGCCGTTGGCCCCCCAGGAGGGGCAAAAAATCGCCCCCGGGGGCGCACCGGCGCTAAATCGCGCACTGGGGCGTGATGCCCCCCAGTCGCGGCGCCCACGGTTAGTCAAAAAAGTCAAACACGGCGCAAAAACGACTCAAATTTAACGCAAACATCGGCGAGTTCGTTCAAACTTAAACATATTTTACAAAAAAAGAAAAAAAAACTACCCCGGGCTACCCCCGCCGTCTCCCTCGCCGCACGCCCACGCAGTTCTACATGCCGAGGAGGCAGTAGAACCGCGTGTAGTCACCGCCGTCGTCGTCATCATCGTCCTCGTCGTCGCCGCCTCCGCTGTCCCTGCTGCATCCCTCCCCTGGTTGGCGCGGCGGGTTGGACGGTCCGGGGGCGGCGGCGTCGTCGTCGTCACTGTCGAGGACCACGACGCCATGCTCGTCCTCGCGCCCACGCTTGTGGGCGGCGATCTCCTCCAGGGCCCGGCGCTGCCGGACCATCTCGTCGCGGAGGTAGTCGTCTCGCGCCCACCGCATGGCGTCCTCGTCGGAGAAGCCGCGCCGAGCTATCTCCTCGTACTCTGCAAGGAGGACGGGCTCCGGCTTGGGCTCGGCGAGGACGAAGCGGCCGGTGGGTGGAGAGGCGTTGGCGCCGCCGGAGCTGTGGGTGCGCGCGCTGACCGGCGTGTCCTGGGGCTCCGGCTTGACGGGGCGGAGGCAGGGCGAGCCGCCGGACGAGGAGGAGGACCCCCAGGTCTCCATGCGCCTCGGGGTCCAGGAGCTTCCCCGGCGGCGTGAGAAGGAAGGGGGAGCGGGGTACTCGAGGCGCGGCGTGTTGCCGCCCTCGATGTACTCGAGGACGGCCTCCAACGTGCGCCCGTGCACGCCCCACCATAGACGCCGGCCGGCGGCGTTGAGCCTGCCGGAGGGCACGACGCCGTTGGTGGCCTCGAGCTGCTCGGCCTGACGGCGGCGGAAGTAAGGTTCCCAAAGCGGGCTGTCGGGGGCGTACCGTGGCCCCTCCTTCGCCGCACGTGGCAGGTTCGAGCGGATGCGTGCGATCTCCGCACGCCGCGCCGCGCCGGTCGGTACCGGGGGCACCGGTACGCCGCCCGCGCTGATCCTCCACGCCCCGGGCACCCGCATGTCCGACGGGATCGGGTACTCGGCCTCGTAAAGGAGGCGCGCCTCGTCTTCATGAAGATGGCGGCGGCCGAAGCCGTTCGCCGCCGCGCCGTCGCCTGGGAAGCGCTCGGCCACGGGTGTGAACTGGGGACGGCGAAAGAGAGGAGAGGAGAGGGAGGAATGACGGCGGCGGGAGAGTGTGAGTCGCCGAGTGCGTCGGGGCGCTTCATATATAGGCCAAGGCACGCGTGTCACCGTGTGTGCGCGTGGCGGGCGAGGGAGGGCGAGGGACGCGCGTCGTCCGGTCTTCACTGCGCCGCCCGTGAGGCATCAATGGTGCAGGCTGACCGGCGCGGCAGCGCGGCAGCTTTGGCATTGATTCGCCGCGGGAAACGAGGCGACGAGGACGACGAAGGGCCGAGAAGAGAGCCGTGTCGCTAACGCGGCGGGCCCGCGGCTTTTTCGCGCCAAAACAGTTCGCCCGGCGCCCCCGGGCGCCCCCAGCACGCCGGGTTTGGGCTGGGTCCGCCGGCGCTGTTTTCGGCCCAAACCGGCGAAAATCGGGCTCCTGGGGGCACGACTGGGCCGTTTTTTCGGCGCCGGCGCGAAAAAAACGCCTGGGAAGGCCTTCCTGGGGGCGTGGATGGAGATGCCCTAAAGTCCCTTGCATGTGTGTTTGCATTTGTTTTGTATTTATTCAGGGCTTATTGATGATGTTATAGTTTACTGAAAGATAATTTTTTTTTCGACTATGAGATGTTTGTGAGGACTCTAGCCCCTTCCATTCCCCTCCTTGCCGCCGCCGCCGAGCGCCACCCGGCAAAGCCCGCGTGGTGTTGGCGGCAGTGGGATCCTTCTTTCCCTCGCCTGGAGCGAAAGCCGGGGGGAGGGGGGTCTTCTTCGGCCTGGATGGCAGTTCTCGATGGCCGGCGCATCGGAGCTCGACGATGCACGCAGGCTAGAGGCGGAGCGGGGCGGCGTTGCTGGCTGGGGGTGGCGTGTCATGGCGGAGCGCGCATGTCGGTGGCGCCTTGGTGCTTCTCGCTGCGAGGAGGATCGAACAAGGCCAGATCTGCCCTAGACAGAGGTGAGGACCTGTGCCCGGTGCTCGGTAGGTACGATGGTGGCGCGGCGGTTTCTTCTCCTATAAAGCTATGGTACGTCGAAGACGTACTCTCTAAAAAAGATGGTCTCTGGTGCGTTTTTCTTATAAAAAAATTGAGTGTGTGTTTATGTATGACTTTTTTTTTCTTGGAGGTGTCTTTTTTTTAAATAATCCTGGAGGTGTTTTTGTTTAGACATCGATAAGTGCCACACATGTGGGCGTTAAAAAGTCTGCTCACACATTTTGTGTGGTATATAAGAGGGTCAGCCCACACACCTACGTGTGGGCAAAACAAGTAATGCCTACACACTTCATTTTTTTTTCTCCCGATCCCTCTCACACGCGTGCGTATGGGCGAAATAGATAACGCCCACACGCCTCGTATGTCAGGCCTCGTACCTCGTGGTCACGCACGCCACGCGTGACAGTCACCGCGCACCTGCAGTTGCCATGGTTCAGACCCTCGTCCATGTTCGTTTAACTGCAGTTGCCATGTCGCTGAACTACGGTTGCCATGTCAGACAACTGCAATTGCCATGGTTGCTCAACTGCAGTTGTCATCTCATATCAAAAAGTTCCAGATGCCATTTTTGGGCAACTGCAGTTGCCACCTACTAACACTAGGCAGTTGCGGTGTATGTTCTGGTTTACTACAGTTGCCATGATTTGAAAACCTTAAAAGTTGCCACCTACTAACACTAGGCAGTTGCCGTGTAGCGCTACAAAAAGACATGGCAAAACAACAAGTTCGGATAAAAAAAAAGTTGTCATCTGCTTACAAAGCACGCTAGGGCAGTTGCCGTGCACCCTGCAAAAAACGTGAAAACTGACAATGTTCGGGTAAAAAAAAAAGAGTTACCACCTGCTTATAAAGCACAGTAGAGCAGTTGCCATGTACACTGCAAAACAATGGCAGGTGAAAACTTGGGTGTGGGAGATGAGACGAGCGTGTGGGCGAGATGACAAATGCCCACACACTAACCCTTATGCGTGCGTGAAAAAGTGGCGTGTGGGCGAACTGCTGAACGTCCACACACCAACCCCTCCCGTGTGGTGAAACGGCCGTGTGGGCGACAGGATGAATGCCCACACATCAGACCAGTCCTACATGGCACTAGAAACATGCCAAGATTCATGCGCTCACAAACAGACGCGGATCTACGCATGTGGGCGAGGGCGTTAACATTTCTGTCGGGCCCGACCCAGACCAGACACACACCGACCGTCTCCTTTCTTTCTTGCCAGCGGAACCCCCACGCCACATCGTCGCCTCCCGCTCCACATCTCGCTCGCTCACCGCCGCTAGCTAGAGTTAGAATCCGCCATGGCCGCCGCCTCCGCCGCCGGCGACCACCGCATGGGCACCACCATCGTGGGAGTCTGCTACGACGGCGGCGTAGTCCTCGCCGCCGACTCGAGAACCAGCACCGGTACGCCCCTCCCCCCGCTCCGACTCCCCCCCTTGATGTTGTTGATGTTTCCCCGTGGATCCGGCATTAGCAGCCGCTAGGTCAGGTCAGGGTTGGATGGAGATGGCGCGTCGGGCGTCCGATTCCGCCACCGCGAGGGATGCGGCTGGTGCTGTTGGCCATGTTATCATTATTATCGTGGGATAACAACGCCCCTCCTAAATTCAGCGTCTTTTCCCCTAGTTGCGAGATCAGGGGAAGCCCAGGATTATTTATTAGAGGCAGACAAACCCAAGATTTGCTATCATAGTCAGTATTATTGATTGGGTCGTTGAGGAAATCCACTGGGATATTTGTTTGGAGTGCAGTGCAATGCTGTGTTTTGTCAAGTCTGGAACCTTCTACAATTGTCGCAATGTCCTCACCGAGTCACTGGAAAACATGGCTCCCCTGCCCTGGGCTGCTATGTCCTTACTGTTGCAAAGTCCTGCTGCCTATGTCATGCTTGAACTAAATGAATGAAGCCGGCATTTGATCTGTTTTGCTCTCTGCTTTTTTTATCATTTGCTTCGCTTAATGTCTGTTTGCTGCCTGCCTGCCTGATGTTAAATTTATTATATGCAACTTAGATCCCGTAGGTCATGACCATAGTCAATTGAGTATTTGATTTGGAAGCTGCTGATGCTAAATTTGTCCTTAATCATGTGCAGAATCCAGCTTGGGCAACCTGCTACCGTGCAAGTTGCATCCAACTTAGTTAGGTTACTGGCCTATCAGAACAAGGTATATCTTCTCTGTAACAAGAGATAGTGCTTAATGTTTGTTTATGCCTTCTTGATACGAATGTCATGTGATTTTTTGTTTTTAATCAATGTCCAGAGCTTGTTGCAAGCTGGAATGATTGTTGGTGGATGGGACAAATATGAGGGAGGACAAATTTACTCGGTCCCTCTTGGTGGAACGATTCTGAAGCAACCATTCGCAATTGGAGGTTCGGTTCCCCAATAGTAGAGGTGCATCATTCCTTACCTATACTTGAGTTGTTGAGTTGACATCTTTTAGTAGCTTCTGGGGCTCTTTTGCAACAAACCTTGTGTGTTCTGTCAAGCTTGTACTCACTTAATCGCTTGCGGTTTGTAAAACATACTGGGATGTTAACCACACTTGTTATCCTGGTTGAGGCAATCTGGCTCTGTTGAGTGCTCAGAAACACTGAGCATGCAGTTATGCTAATCCGGCTTTAGTGTATGATATACCAGGTGCACGTTCTCACATTTTATTTTATCGCTGGGCTTTTCAGGATCTGGTTCTAGTTACCTGTATGGATTCATGGATCATGAATGGAAAGAGGGTATGACCCAGGAAGAAGCTGAGGTACGTCATTTAGTTTCTTCTGAGGAGCTAGAAAGAATTAGGAGATCTTTTCTGACAAATAAGTAGTGATAGGACATACTACTCCCTCCGTCCTGTAATATAAGACGTTTTTGCAGTTCAATTGTTTTTGTAGTTCAAATTGAACTGCAAAAACGTCTTACATTATGGGACAGAGGCAGTAGTTTATTTATTTAATGCATGAGGCACAGTCCAGTCTAAAGCTATGTTCAGCTCCCATATTGCTTCTATCACTGCTTATTTTGTACTGTAGTTGCGACATCAAATGGTGCTCTTATTTCCTTAAAGTGGAATAAAGCTTTTTGATGGCTTTTCTGTCAATTTGCCTGATGATTGACATTGCGTAATATTAGTTACATAGTCCTGAATTTCTTTTATCCCTGTTAGTTACATAGTCCTGAATTGTATGGCGGAATCATCATTTCTCATCAGTCTTCAGCTTTGAATCATTGCAGTGCATCTCATAACATGTTTTTCCTTGTGCTGGTGTCAACAGAAGTTTGTGGTGAAGGTGGTTTCCCTTGCTATTGCTCGCGATGGTGCTAGTGGAGGGGTTGTTCGCACTGTTACTGTAAGTGTCTTTTCACACAAATTTCATTCTTTGTTTCTTTTGGTTGAGAAATACACAACATTATGGAAACTTGGACTTGCTTATTTGAATGGACTTATTATGCAACATAAAGATGATGCAACCTCGCTTTAATAACAAAGATCAGATATTAGTCAAAATTAAAACCCTCTGAAAAGAGCCTCCTTGTTAAAATTTGAGGCCTGTTGCTTAATAACTGCTCTTTGTTTTCCCAAAGACTTTGGTTAGACGTACTGATTTGAGAAATCCTGCACAGATTAACGAGGAGGGCGTTAAAAGGAGCTTCCACACTGGTGATGAGCTGCCACTGTGGCATGAAGAGCTGGAACCACAGAAGTCGCTCCTTGACATTCTCGCAGCTGAGAGCACTGATGCAATGGTCCATTGAAATTACGGCGCTTACTATTGTACTGAGCGCTTAGTACTGATAGCGTCGGTTCTAGACTCCCTCGCAACCTACGTACTTGGTGCCGGTTTTCAAGATTCCCGAGAAAACGCTGAAATTTCTAGGTGCTATTGGACGGGCCTTCTTTTGGGCGGCTGAGGAGACGTGCACAGGGTCCAAATGTTTAATTGCAAGGAAGAACGTATGTGAACCGAAAGAATTTGGTGGTCTAGGCATCAAGGATGTTGCTACACAGAAGGACTGTCTTGTTATGAAGTTTGCCTTCAAATACCTCAGCCGCAACATGTAAGATGAGGATGTCGAGCTCATGGAAGATGAGGACGAGCGCTTCTTGCTGCATGGCTTGAGCTACTCCCCCAAGGCCGCGTACTCTGAAGATGCTCATGCTGCACTGATTTGGAGGTCCAGAGCTCCTCATAAACTGAATTTATTTGCCTGGTTACTCTTCCACGATCTGTCTCAACACCTGCCCCTCGCTGCAGCGCCTCTTGTGAAGATACAACCCACCTGTTCATCTCTTGCCCGCACGCCGCCAGGATGCTGGGCGCAGGCTGGCCTGTCTACAACTCGGAGATTCCAAGACTTGTGGCTCTCTCAATTTCTGCCATTGTTGGACTCCCGAATCTGGCCACAAGTGCTACTTGTACTTCTGGGGAAAATCTGGGATTCGCGCAATGCTGCTGCCTGTAGAGGTGAAGACCACCCCTCTCTGCTCACTATCCGACACATTGTAGTAACAGACTTTGAGTTGGTACTCTTTTCGCTTTCGAGACCCAGATGACAAGGTAGCTGCCAGGTCTTGGCTTAGCTATCTTGCCACACGGCTTGAGATCCCTGTAACTTTCTTTGGCCCTCTCTGGCCGTTTGAGAAATACTCCCTCTGTCTGAAAATACTTGTCATGGAAATGGATGTATCTAGATGTATTTTAGTTCTAGATACATCCAATTTTATCAATTTTGATGACAAGTATTTTCATTATGCCATGTCGACGAAACGGGGCCCCACCTGTCATAATCCAGCTTAAACTGCCCAAACAGAAGGGTAAGTGGTTTCTGCAAATGATTAAGCAAAAAATCGGTGCTATATGCAGCAAATAGTGTTCCTGCAAAACTAAGCTGAAATGTGGTGGTTTTCTGCAATTCACTCTCTTTAAAGCCGAGAAAACATGGTATTTAAGTCAATACAGATGTTTCGCACAAAAGTTCAAAAGTTTGTTTAGAAAGCTCTCTACTTTATTGCTGAGTTGATCGATATGACATTTTTATCATGTATTCATGCATCCTCTTATGGGTTTGGTTATTGAAATAGAGTAGGTTTGGAACGGAATAGCTGTGTTAGATGAAAGCGAACGTTGATGTGTTTCTACAACTGGACGCAAAATATATATATTTTTAGATTAGTCTTAACTGGACAAGAACGACAGTCCGAATGATTTCTTTCTTTGATTGTGCCGACAAAGATCTGAAGTTACTTTGAGTTTGTTTGGCTACTTACGTGCAAATTAACCTCTTAATATATGTCGGTAGCAGCCTTTTTCTGTTGAGATGGAGAGCATGCTCGTTGTGGAGGCAAGAGAAGATAATCCTATTAACACGGGTGCGGGAGCCAGTCATCCAAAGGTAGCCTTATATGTCCGCTTACATTTCAAATGAAATTCAACGAAAATGAACAAATTTGATTTAAACTCAAACAAACGGGGCATTATTCATTCACACTTGTATGATTTTCACATAAAACCGAATGCATTCATTTAAACCAGAGCAAGCTCATTACATTTCGACATATTTCAACTCAACCGGACTCTAAACCTAGACTAAAATGACCTCTGGTCCCCGTTCCCATCTCCTGCCTGCCATGAGCCCCGAAAAATGAAGCCCCGCTCGCTTCACAGCTCTCCACTGACATGTCTTCCCCATGTCTATCCACCCGCTCGCCGGACTGCCGAATGCCTTGGAGGGATATGCTTCAGCGAGAGGGGAAGAATAGCCTCCGCTTCCCCCATATCTTTTCGGATATTCGTGCCGCTCATCGGAGTGGCCTCTGCTTCCGTGGATCACGGGTCAGAGTTGGTTTTTGGGGCGGAGGACGACGGTGGCCTGCAAAGTGGGCAAGTCATTGGTTGTGCACGCCGGCAACGTGTTGGTGGTGGACTTCGTGGGGCCCAAGCGGCGGCGGCCTCCCATGATCTACTTTTCTTCGATGTTGGTGGCGGCTGCAGACGTGTTGTCCGCCTCATTGAATACATGAAGCCGACTTCTTTCTCCACTAGGAGGGTGCTGTTCCGCGCACGTTATCGGCGGATGACGTGGGAGGATCGGTACGACACTGCCCCGTCCGCGACAGTAACTTTGTGTTTGCCGCCGTGCTCCACCGCATGTGGGCCTGGAGCAACTCGCCACTCCTCCACGAGCTGGCTTGGAGCGGCGATGTGTTGAACCATGCGCCGGCTTGGAGTAGTCACTTGCTCCTCCGTGCGCCAGCCGGCAGCCTCGCCCATGGTACTGATGACCTCGAGCGGCGAGGGAGGTGGAGCAGCGAGTTGCCTAGCCAGCTTTTATGTTGGAGAACCACTCTTCTTGCCCGCCAGATGCCATGGAGAGTGTGGAGAATATGGTGCAAGGAGGAGATGGGGAAGGAAGGTGTGGTGCAATTCTTGTCCCGCGTCTAACCTCGTTTAAATAGCCTGTCGACACGAGGAGCCAAACGACGTTGTGTTTAATGCAAGCAAACTTGTGGCTAGAGTAGGTTTCTATGCACACGCACGGCTTTAATGGAGGCAGGCGAGGAGGCGTCTTCAGCTGGGCGTATAGTGGACGACGCTCTCTCAGCTGGGGCGCCACTTCAGTGCATGTGTCAGTGAGAGGTCACACCCACTTTAAGCCGACGTCAATGCGGAGCGGTCGCTCACTACGGCATGAATGCGGGCATCTGGCGCCGTGCAGGAAAACACGCGGGTGATGGAAGAGGGTTTTGGATGCCACAGTTGCGAGACGCGGACGTGGCAGCGGTCTGAACGCCCATAAAACCCCTAACTTTGTTCCGGTTTGCGAAAAAAAGAACATGTTCAAACATCGTCCGGTCCGGCCCGTGCGGTCACGACGGTTTGACAGCCGGCGTTGGAGACGTCCACTAGCGCAAAACTATTTAGAATTGCCACCGTACTGGTAGCTGCTAGAAATGAATCAAGGTCTACCTCCTGCTTGCTTCTTTAGCTAGCTTTGCCGGCCTGTAGGTAAACCGCCAGTCAAGAAAACAAGCAGTCCTTGGGCCCGTCACCGAGTTGGGTTGGTCTCGCGCCTACGCACGACACAATTCCTTAACCGGGTACACATCTGATCTGATAGGCAGCCGATAAAGGCCAAATCCGGTCGCCAAGCAGGCCACCGCTGCGTGCAAGCCGAGCGAACGATCCACAACAGCACGCGCTCGAAGTCTCGAACGGAAGAAGAAGCTTCATGGCAGCAGCGGCGCTCCGGTCCACCGTCGGGCTCGCGGCGCTGCGGCGCGCGGCCACACTGCAGGCCTCGTGTCGCCTCCCCTCCACCGCCGGCGCCTCCTCCTCCAATGGTCTGATCACCCTACGACGGCAGACGATGTCCACCGCACCCATTGGGCGAAGCGTAGCGAGGTGGTGAGTAGCTCGTTAACCAATCCACTTTCTCGTCGATGGTCTCTCTTGTTCAATTCAATTTGATCTATCGAGCGCGCACATGTGGTGATCGTACTACGTACTTACGATGTATACGCAGGAAGAGGAGGTGCATGGATGCTGCTTTCACCGCCGTCGCTGGCGGTGTATCCCTGGTCGGAATGTTCGCTTACGTTTGGTTCACCAGCCCAGAGGGGGACTGGGAGCGGACTAGCAGATGACGACGTAAAGGAGGTGAAATAAACAAGAGAAGAGCATGTCGGATCTGATCTAACCCAACAACGCTAGCTTGTACTAGTACGTAGTAGATGTTTTATTCTAGCATTCTGGAGATCGACGGTAAGAACCTAGCTAGGGAGAGAGAATTATTGTACTGCATTTGTGCGGTACTAATATATTGTCGACAATTGTTAATCTTGTTATTATGGTTTTCGAGCGTCCACACTTTTTCCTTTCCTTTGCATGGAAATTAGAGCATCTACAGCCGGATGCGCCAAATCCGTCTCAAACTCCCGGGCGGACGGGGTCGTGAAAATTCGACCCTGATGGGCGCCTTAAACAATCGGGCTGAACGGCACTCTTCATATCCAGCCCAAATATGGGGGCGGACGGGCGTGCCCGCCACGTCGGACTGACGCTGGGGTCCCACACGAAAACAATCTGACCCGGCTGTCCGAAACTCGTCTCCTCCATCGGACGGATGTCGCCGGCGCCGCTCCGGCGAGCCACGTAGTGCCTTGCCCTGCTGAAACCCTACCGCCCACATTTTTCTCCTACCATCCACCGCCCTGCCACTTTCCACTCCCCGTACACCATTACTAGTAGCCATGTCCCAACGACTGGGTGAGGAGCTATCCGTTTCTAACGCCGGAGCGCTGGCTGCAACTCGTTGAGCAGATCCGGGCAAGGCGCGAAGCTCAGATCGCCGCGGGGCTACCTCCGAATGCAGTGGATCCGGAGGAGGAGTTGGAGGAGGAAGATAAGGTTGAGGAGCAGGATGTGGGGGACGCTGGGGACGCGGATCTGCAGGTCGAGTAGCAGGCCATCCTCAATTCTCTCTGCTCGGAGTCGGATGTGGAGGCTAGACGCCTTCGTCAGCAGGAGATGGAGGCAGAGCATGCCACAGAGGAGGAGGAGATGCTCGCCTACATGGATGAGGTCGAGGAGGAGGAGTCGCAGCCCTCCTACGCGCCCGTCCACCCGGCGCCCGGAACCGACGTCGTGAACATCTCCGGTGACGGAGAGTAGCTAGGGTAGTACGTAAGATTTCTTTTGCATATTTTGTATGGATATAGGGGTTGAAATATAAAAGACTCAGATGCAGAGTAGCAA